TCAACAAAACTTCACAGGACTACGTAAAATTACCTTGCTGTGGTTCTAACAGCGCCAAAAAATTGGAAAAACACAATTGTTTTTGCACGAAATCAATTTCAAAACACGATTAAGAGGCATCGCTTTCTCGGAATAAAAGGGGGACAACTCATATCGGGTTATTCTTATTATAAAACCCAGGTTGTTTGTGTGTGTGTGTGTGTTCGTTTATATATGGGATCGGATTTCCTTCATTTTTCAACCAATTTCAACAAAACTTTACTTTTTTTGGCAGGTAGTGTGTTATTTATTGTGTTGCACACTTTTTTCTTTATTTTTACATTCAGAATGCTTTAAAAATTCCATTTACAAGACAATTGTTTATAATAAAATTCTATTCAATCGGTAGACTCATAACAATTGAAAACAGTGTTTCTGATTGAGTTTGGGTTTGACCAATTCGTAAAAAAAAAAAAAAAAAAAAAACAAAAAAAAAAACTAATTAAGACATGCGTGTCCGTGAACCTTAAATAATAATCTTTGTCAATTTTATTTTTCAGTCTTTATGATGGTCGATACTTGATCTATCTCTTACTGTTACATCCCCGGGCAACGCCGGGTTCTACTGCTGGTTAATGATATTAGGAAGTTAAATGATGAAGCTTAGGAACAACGTAGATCTAAAGATAGATCCCTGGCGGACACAAATCCACGGATCCAAATAAAACGACAAGTTGAAGAGAAGATATATTTGAAGAGGGTGTATATATTTATTTTATTTTATTTCGTCAGGTTTTATTGAAGAACAGAAAGCGGATTTGTTTTTAACTAGTTTCCTTTCCATTAATTGTCTTTTCTTTTCTTACTCGATAACGGATGTTTGTTTTTTAAGTGCGTCAAAATTATCCGGATGTATATGTCCTATGAGTTCCAACTCTCATTGGTCAATTTAACAAACACAAACTTGAACGAATTTTTTTTTTTTTTTTTTTTTTTTTTAGATACGTACGTTATCTTCAATGTAAATAAGTGAAAATAACTAAAAAAAAATTTTGAAACAAACTTCTTTCTGTTGTCTTCGATAAAAACTACTTAACCCTTTGCCTGTCCAGGGCATTTTTGTATGTAATTGATATTCTCGGAAAGCTATATATTTGAACGAAGTAGCTAAGTGTTTTTGGCTACAATAACCAAGTAGAATATGGTAGCAGTAATCGACTGGTACGCGTCGTAATCGCAGGTAAGAAGTGTAGATCAATGGCGTAAGTCCAATGGGCGTCGTTATAGACTTAGCTATCAGACTAAGGCTCTTGACTCACATACACATCCGTCGGTATTTATGACGGACACCAGTCAATCAGGTGTATGCATATGTTGTAAAGAAGTAGTTTTTACAGTGGAGGCTTGTATTTCAATAAGACGTCCTGAATTAGGTTCTGACGTACAAAACGTTAGGAACTTGAAATAAGAGTTAATGACGCAGCAATCTAGTTGTGATGGTTGATACTTCAATGTCCGACATCGACTGACTCGCTCAACACCACTGAGCCCAACCGGCCACTGCTACTACTACTTATTATCTGTGGGAGATCTATTACAATAGAATAGGTATTATGGTATAACAGCATATTCTATTATATCAGTAATATTACAACGTCCATGCTGTTTACAGATTTGTAACTATTGCAAGCCAACTCAGATTATTTTTCAAATAGAATGTAATCATATATAATGCTCTGTGCATCACATGTGATACAAAGGTTATAATCATTTCAATAAAGTGGAAAAATAGATGTATTTCATGTAAGACCTTACATTATCAGACAAAAAAGTCTTGTGGTCATATATAATGCACGAAATACTAGATTAGGCCTCTCCTCAGATGCCCTGCTCAATAGTAGACACTTTTCTTAAGCGCCCTTAGTTTTAGCAAGTTTTTAAAATTCGTGTGCATCAATTATGATTCACGGACGTGCATCTCATATGATACGCAAGACAGTCAAAGGTTCAAAGTTGCATCCTGGGTAAGACGTTAACTACATCTGCGTCCTGGGTAAGACGTTAACTACATCTGCGTCCTGGGTAAGACGTTAAACTATGTCCAGCAGCAAGGACTCTGATTAGGAGGTTTTGAGGAGCTTGGAACCTCCTCTTAATTGTTGGTGTTCCCAGATCCACACTGACCCGGGGTGGTAACACCTGTTAGGGTCCCAGCTATGGGCAAGTAGTTAACTATTACCAGCAATACATTTTTGAAAAAAATTATTACCAGCAATACAGTTTTGAAGGAAATATATTACCAGAAATAGATTTTTCATAAAACAAGATGTTACCAGCAATAAAAATATTTGTCAGCATTAATTGGCCCATTGGGGTTGATGTGCCGTAAACCAAACCAAACCAAACCAAACCAAACCAAACCAAACCAGAGGTTCAAAATTATATTTTATTTCTTTGCGGCATATTTCGACAGCAATTATTCATTTAAACATACATTACAATTTTAATCCACCTCGGGAATTAGCATGGGATGAAATTGACAGAACGGAATTAATTATTATAATTAAACTATGAGAACCTTTTGCAACGAATGCCAAGGAAAAAGCAGGATATTTTGACGACCGCAAAGTTTCATTATAAAATGCTATTCCTTTTCTTTTTGTCGTAATAATATTTCTAATAAAAAAAAATTATGTCTCACTTTTTTTTTAACCATGTATAATAATATTCTCTTGTTTAAATTACAAAACGACTACGTTCGGAACAAGTTTAAAAATTACCAGGGGTTTCCTAAGACATTTGAGCTGTAGTGTATGTACTGTAAGAACAATATCCATTTTGTGTCTATTAAATGTAAAGATGTTCATTGTTCTAACGCGCAAATATCCTTTCGTAAATGTGGTTATTGTATGGACAAACACTGATCAAAATACTTGAGGTCCACTCAAAGATTTCGAGTCATCCTGTGTCATCATTAGGGAGGTCGAGTACGAAAAGAAAATTGTGTTTGATGGGATATATTGTATCATTATTCATTGAATTTGCAGTTATCTTTTGAAAACTAAATTAGGTAATCCCAGGAAATTCTGTAACGGCATATATGCGCTTTTAGCAATACGTGGACTCAGTATAAGATTACTTTTATACATGAATGGTTGCCTTGTAAAAATGGTTGCTTTTATTCATGAATGGTTGCTTTGCAAAAGAATGTTTGTTTTATTCACGAATACTTGCTTTCTAAAGAATGGTTGCTTGTATTTATGAATGGTTGCTTTGTAAAGAATGGTTGCTTATATTCACGAATGGTTATTCATGAATGTATATTTTGTAAAAGAATGGTTGCTTTTATTCATGAATGGTTGTTTATGAAAGGTTGCTTTGTAAAAGAATGATTGCTTTTATTTATGAATGGTTATTTTGGAATGGTTGCTTTTTAAAAAGTATGGCTGCTTTTCATCATGAATGGTTGCTTTGTAAAAGAATGGTTGCTTTTACTCATGAATGGTTGCTTTGTAAACGAATGGCTTCTTTTATTTATGAATGGTTGCTATGTAAAAGAATGGTTGCTTTTATTCACAAATGGTTGCTTTGTAAAAAAAGGTTGCTGTTATTCATGTATCGTTGCTTTATAAAAGAATGGTTGCTTTTATTCATGAATGGTTGCTTTGTAAAAGATTGTTTACTTTGTAAACTTGATTGATTTGTAATTTTTCGTCAATTTTGCAATTAGATTTAAGAGGATAAATTAGATTGATTAATAGAAAGGAGCTTTTTTAATATTATTGTAAATTTTGTGATGCTTTTTGATATAATTGCACTTGGCACAGATAAATTCCATGTAAAAGGGAAATCGTTTTGTACCGCTGTATAACATTGTGTTTATATATTTTGTTGGATTTGTAGATCTTGTTTTTTACTAAACGCGTTAAAATTGTCTGAGGCTGTTGTAACCTAAGTTTGGTTACTGAATAGAATAATCAAACGAACTTTGGTAATGAATGATAATACCTTAGACAAGAAAAACATATAAGATTCGGCAGCGGCGTGTAGAAGTAGTCAACTGCTAGAAGTGAGTCAAGTGATTTCCATAATAAATCTCCAACTGCAGGATATCTGCCAACCGCCCCACACAGTCAGATGTGGAACAAGTCGGAATTTAATGTGGGGTATCCGATCCCGTAGGCTCGGCAAAACATTCCCCCTAGACCCCGTATAAAAAGGGGGTCGGGTAGCTGTTTCCCGAGACGAGACTTTGCCCTTTGACATAGCTTCGTCTGGGGATCCTATCTGCCCGGAGGCAGAGAATTTCACCAGCACTGCCTGAGACTAATCTCCGACTGCCGACCAACATACAGTATCTACTACTGTATTTATATGAATGGGGACATAACCAATATTGTATGCTACAATAGAGACCTAAATTAAATGTTGAGCAAGAGATTTCCTAAATGTGTGTAGAAATGTGATTTAAAGCAGAAATGTTTTAAAGAAATCCTCATTGGTCTGCGGTATAGTCAAACTCCTGATTTTTAACCTATCCTCATGAGTTGCCTGTGTCAAAGACTCATCACTTTAGCTCATTTCATTGAGTTTAAGTCTGTATATCCCGCCCCAGAGAATTCAACTCGCGCTTACAATGTCACGAAATGCACAAGCCAACGCTTTAAGTCCCTCACATACTGGCATCACGTATTGTTTACAATAATCACTCGTCTGATTTTGTTTGTAAGCAATGACATACTAGTCAAGAACAGAAAGGCTGCTGGTAGTAAACAGAGCATGTTTAAGATTGTGGCTCGGCTCCAGGAAGGATTATAGTCTTGGAAATATTTGTAACAGCTAATTACTGTGGATACATCATATAAAAGGCTGAATTAGATAGATAGCTAACATTATAGTGTAAGGATTCAACATATAAATCCATGTCCCTGTTCTTTGTTCGGCATATGTTTTCCCTTGTCTTAATGAAGCTATTATTAAGCCAAGCAAAAATGAATGAATACGTATCCATGTTGTTGGTGATGTCCATCCCTTTCAAGACCGTCTTTTTCGTCATTTTTTTCGCCGTTTCTTGCCTTGTAATTGTCCGCAGTTACACCGTTTCTTCTTCATCCACTGTGTTTACAAATCTTCCTTTATCTTCTAATTGTGAATTAGCAACCATAATTTACTGCTTCTTCGTTCGTATTTTTCCCCCTCCCGCATTTATTTCCAGTACCTTTCGCCCGCGTTTGTCTCTCTCTGTAATGTTCTTTCTTTTGTTTCCTTTTCATTTTGTAGTTTCTTTCCAATTTACTTTTTTCGTTGTCTCTTTTTTCCCCCTCTCATTTGGCTCTCTCTATTTCTCTCTTTCCTTTTCTTTTTTCTCTTTCCTCTCCACCCGCTATTCTGATTATCTATTTAATATTTTCTATCTTTCTTCTCTCGTATCCTCCCTTTTTTTATTTTTGCATTTTCTTTTTCTTTCTCTTCCTTCCATCTTTCTTTTCTCTTAAGTATTACGTCAACCTTTTCTCTCGTCTCACCTTCCTTGCCATCATTTTCGTTATATTTTCCAGGTATATTTCTTTTCTTCTCTCTTTCTTCCCCCCTTTCTCTATTTATTTTCTTTTATTTGTCATTGTGTGCTTTATTCTTGTTCTTCTTCTGTCTTCCTTTATTTTTGTGGTTTTTTTCTTTTGCTTTTCAGTTTATTTAATTGTTTATTTATTTTTTTTAAATTCCTATTCCTCGCCCTTCTCTCTTTTCTTCACTCTCTCTCTTTTTCATTATTTCTTCATATATTCATATTTTTCGTTTTCTTTAATCATTTTTACCTTTTCGAAATTTTTCCTGTCTTTCATTATTTTTTCTTTATCTTTTTATTCTATTTTAGATTCTTTCTTTCTTTTTTATTTTATTGCATACTCTTCTTTTTTTCTTTCTTTTCACTCTTTTTTTCTACTGATATTCAGTTTTCTTTCCTTTTTATTTTTCATTTCTTTATAACTTGATTTTTCATGACGTTCTTTCTTTCTTTTTATTGCAATTCAATTTTTCCTCTTTTTTCTTTTTCAGTTCTTTCTTCTTTTTTCTTTCTTTTTATTGCAATTTACTTCCCCTCCTTTTTCTTAATGTGATCTTTCTTTTCCTTTTCAATTTTTCTATAGTATCTTATCAATCTCACTTATTTCTTCTTTCTGTTTCTTTATTTGTTTGCTTCTTTCTTTCTTTTTTCTTTCTTTCTTTCTTTCTATTGAAATTCACATTGTCGTTATTTTTTCTTTTTATGTTCTTTCTAACTTATTCTCCCTTACGTTCTTTCTTTCATTCTTTCTTTCTTTCTTTCTTTCTTTCTATTGAAATTCACATTGTCGTCTTTTCTTTCTTTTTCTTTCTTTCTTTCTTTCTTTCTTTCTTTCTTTCTTTCTTTCTTTCTTTTGAAATTCACATTGTCGTCTTTTCTTTCTTTTTATGTTCTTTCTAACTTATTCTCCCTTACGTTCTTTCTTTCATTCTTTCTTTCTTTCTTTCTTTCTTTCTTTCTTTCTATTGAAATTCACATTGTCGTCTTTTCTTTCTTTCTTTCTTTCTTTCTTTCTTTCTTTCTTTCTTTCTTTCTATTGAAATTCACATTGTCGTCTTTTCTTTCTTTTTATGTTCTTTCTAACTTATTCTCCCTTACGTTCTTTCTTTCATTCTTTCTTTCTTTCTTTCTTTCTTTCTTTCTTTCTTTCTATTGAAATTCACATTGTCGTCTTTTCTTTCTTTTTATGTTCTTTCTAACTTATTCTCCCTTACGTTCTTTCTTTCTTTCTTTCTTTCTTTCTTTCTTTCTTTCTTTCTTTCTTTCTATTGAAATCCACATTGTCGTTTTTTTTCTTTTTATGTTCTTTCTAACTTATTCTCCCTTACGTTCTTTCTTTCTTTCTTTCTTTCTTTCTTTCTTTCTTTCTTTCTTTCTTTCTTTCTTTCTTTCTATTGAAATCCACATTGTCGTTTTTTTCTTTTTTATGTTCTTTTCTAACTTATTCTCCTTACGTTCTTTCTTTCTTTCTTTCTTTCTTTCTTTCTTTTCTTTCTTTCCTATTGAAATTCACATTGTCGTCTTTTTCTTTTTTTTTTATGTTCTTTCTAACTTATTCTCCCTTACGTTCTTTCTTTTCTTTCTTTCTTTCTTTCTTTCTTTCTTTCTTTCTTTCTATTGAAATTCACATTGTCGTCTTTTCTTTCTTTTTATGTTCTTTCAAACTTATTCTCCCTTACGTTCTTTCTTTCTTTCTTTCTTTCTTTCTTTCTTTCTTTCTATTGAAATCCACATTGTCGTCTTTTCTTTCTTTTTATGTTCTTTCTAACTTATTCTCCCTTACGTTCTTTCTTTCTTTCTTTCTTTCTTTCTATTGAAATTCACATTGTCGTTTTTTCTTTTTATGTTCTTTCTTTCTTTCTTTCTTTCTTTCTTTCTTTCTTTCTTTCTTTTGCCTTTCATTTTTTCTCCATTTTTCTTTTTCTATTCTTTCTTCTTCTTCTTCTTCTTCTTCTTCTTCTTCTTCTTCTTCTTCTCTCTCTTCATTGTAGTCGCTTTCTAATTTCCATGTCTTTAATCGTCTTTCTGTCTTTCCAACCATTTCCCAGCTATTTGCCTCTTTACGTCTATTAGTCAAAACTCCCTCCACCTTTGTTAGTGCCATTGCCTTAATTGGGCAGTCGAGATTGTGCCTTTACAACAGGCAAAATGAAGTCTCCTGTGGGGACATCGGTAAATATACAGCTGCGTTCGCTCTCTTCTCTCTAAAATGTAATTACTGCCTTTCACAAAGATCCAGACACATGGCTTCTCATTAGAGATGACAAGACAGTAAGGACAAAGACAATGACAAGTTCCTAATAACAATGTGAATGAACAATGGCGGCAACGATAATAATATTTGGTGGAGAGGTAGGATAATTATAAGAATCAACACTGTGATAATGTAAATGACAATTTTAATTGAATTTCCCAATAATCGTTCTTACTATTATTATATTGCATGTTCACCCTGGATAAATAGTGGTTATCACGGCGCGAGGTGGGTAGTGAGTGACAACATGTCTCTTTAAGTGTACAGAATTTTTTCTCCTATTCTCGCGGAGCAATTTCGGGTACACAGTCACAACCCTCCCTGAAAAATTTATTTCTTTTAAATTATTTTTTTTCCACAGATTTGCATGTTCGCACAAAATGTAGTAATGGCTGGACACTGTCTGAAAAATAACCTCTTTAACTCACTTGCAACTTTTCCAGCATCGTCGCAGAGACTAACATCCCTATCATATAGAGAGTATCAACCCATTCGAAGAATTTTATTTCCTAATGGGATTATAGTTTTCTGTATCAAAATATGATTACTGTTTGAATCAAGCGTTATCATTATTTATACTATTTTAATTCTGTATCTATCTATATTAATTCGACATTCCAACCACCTGAAGAAGGCCGGGGCGTACAACGGCCGAAACTTTGTAATAAATATGGCGACAATAGTCCGAATAATGTAAATAGTGTACTATTTTAGTTCTGATTAATGTCTTCATCTTTGTTGTTATTATCATAACTTTTCGGTTGCTGGACTCTTCGGTCTTCTGGAAGTGTCTGTCGATCTGTGTAACCTTCAGATTTCGAACTGAACCCTTTAATCTAGATATTTGAATATGGTCAAAGGTCACAACGATATCGACTTTGGGACAATAATAACAAACATGAAGATCATTAGTTCAAATATAAAAAGACTAATTTGTAACATTTTTGTTTCCATCAGTATAGCTGATGCTAACCACCAAGAGAGTCTCATTGCGACTTCTGCTAACGTTTTCCACTGACTTGAATTTGAAAGATTATACTGAATCACTTATTAGGCCTGCTGCGAGGAAGGTTGATGCACTCTGTAGTGCCAGACCATTTTCCTCCCTAGAATATGTATTACACATACTTAAGTCTACTATTCTTCCATGCACTTGGTTTGGTGCTTCTGTTATATATTTAGAGATCCTTGGTAAAATATAAAGAAGAATATGTAATGTTATTGGTCCTGACCTGGCATCTCGGCTTCAGTCACTTTCTAACCACCGTAACTTAGCTTCCTTGCACCCTTTCTATAGATATTTTCATGGTGTTTTGATGAGATTTTCGCTTTGTTGCCTAGATATTATGAAAACAAGCGCAGTACTAGATTGACGGTTAGGTCTCATCCGTATATGGTTGAAATGACTAGATATAAGCGTTCTATGCTGACAGTTCTTTCTCTTGCACTTGTAAAACTCTCTTCTGACTTCTTACTTTCCAGTCAACTTTGATCTTCAAAAAATTTATATACAATGTCAATCGCTAACTTTTGTCTTCTTAATTCATGTACTTTTTTTTTTATTATTCTTTCTCTTTAATAGTAGTTTTTTCTCATATTCTCTAACACTCAGTAACCCCTTTGCGTCTAAGTGGCTTTAATGCCTTGCTTGGGAGGAAATTTAAATGCAATGTCAATCGTTATCTTCTGTCTTCTTAATTCTTGTTCTTTTATTGTTCCCTCTCTTTAAAAGTATTTTTTATACACTATAAATTAGTTGCTTTATTGCCTTGCTTGGGATGAAATGATTAAATAGAAATAGCACTTATCATTTGTTATATTCTAAACGCTAGGCTACAAATATTAGGAATCAGTAAGGATTAAAATCCCCACTAACATCAACCACTCTAGCTCATTTCATTGAGTTTAAGTCTGTATATCCAGCCCAGGGATTGAACTCGCGCTTACAATGTCACGAAATGCACAAGCCAACGCTTTAAGTCCTTCACGTACTGGTGCCACGTATTGTTTATAATAATCACTCGTCTGATTTTGTTTGTAAGTAATGACATACTAGTCAAGAACAGAAAGGCTGCTGGTAGTAAACAGAGCATGTTTAAGATTGTGGCTCGGCTCCAGGAAGGATTATAGTCTTGGAAATATTTGTAACAGCTAATTACTGTGGATACATCATATAAAAGGCTGAATATAGGATAGATAGCTAACATTATAGTGTAATGATTCAACATAGAAATCCACGTCCCTATCAGTCAAGCCTATTAGGTGACCGTCCAAACTTACTTGAGCCCTGGGCGTTGCCTTACATTCGTTTTTAGGGGAAAAAAGAGGGTCTTGTAAGCCGGAAAATACGGCAATCAAAATTCATTTACATTTTCCCACCATATTTCTGGCGATTATTGCCTGGGGAACTGAGTGCTATCTACCTGCTTCGACTGACCAGTGCTTTTGGCAATTTCACCCCAGACACCATCATCCATTTCCTGTGAACCTTCTTTTTTTTTTCTTCTTAGAATGCGTATAAAACAATCAGTATTTGTAGAATGGCGGGATCTTTGGTAGTTATCACTGGACAATGGCCGACTATCATTCTCAGCATACAAGCAAACGCTAGAATCCCATTTCTGTAGACAGTCTATATCAGGTCTGGGCAAAATTGTTTGCATGGCGGGTTGCCTCATTGTCTGTCCTGTTTAAACTGGGCCGAACTAGCCACAAGCGTTTCACAATCAAAGTGGAAATAGCAATCTTACACGCACATGTATTTGTGCATTTATTTGCTTTGTAGACGCACTTTGTGAATAGACTTCATGACTAAACCAAGAGAAGCTAGCATTCAAAACTAAATCGATAGGGACTAAGAGAAAGGTTCAAATATTCAGTCATGGACTAAGCATAAGTTTAGAGCTTTATAGCTAGGTCCCTCCATCAGTGTTAACGCATCCTTATTTCTCTCGTATTCCATTAGTAAGGAAGAAGTCCAACCCAGAAAGATTTTTCCCAAGAAATGTTACTTTGTGGAACAGGTTCTTTAGAGGATGCTTCACTACGATCTTGTTCTCTTTAAGTCTAGAGTCAATCTTGATATGTCCAAAATATTCTCAAAATCTGCATTTCTTATTCGTTACAACGGCCTCATTCAGCAGCCCACTCCTTTGACGGGCACTAGGGTCTTGTATTGGTTGAATATTAATATAAAAAAAAGAAAAAAAATGATTATGTTGCGTCAGTCTTGGAAGCGGATATGACATATCTTGAAAATCAGAATTCAAAGTCTGTATTTAAGACCAAATATCTAAACCAACTTATTTTGTTCTATTGTTCACCGTTTCGAATAGTTTACGCTAAAGCAGCTTTTAAAATGGTCAACTTTAATCTTAAGCAAAACTGGGATACTCGACTAGTAGCATAAATAAAGACCA